AAACGGAGCATGCTGCTCTGACGGCTTTAAAGGGTTAACAATGACTTTAAAAAAAATAATATAAAATAGTGTGCAACACCACTGAAGTTTTTTTTTTTTAAACTCTCTTTTCAACCAACGGCAGTCACTCTCCAAATAACTTCTGCTTAGCTTTCCGAGCTTCCCTCGGGTCCTCTTAATCAGCGGTCTCCACCCTTTTTTGCGCCACGGATGGTTTATGCCTTACAATATTTTCACGGACCGGCCTTTAATGTGTCGCGGATAAATGAGGGAGGGGCTAATAATCGGCTCAGTCATTTTTAATGATCGTTGAAAGCCCAGATCGTAATCGTGATTAAAATTCGATTAATTGAGCAACCCTAATTTCTGGGATTTCACACAACCCAGGATTCAAATCATGAATACATAATTTACAACATTATGAATGAAATGTGCTCTACTTGGAAGCAGCCGGCCCCTCCCCTTTCGACGGGTTGTGTGTGAGACTTTAAATCATCAAACTGTAAATTATACATTTTAAATTGTTATTGATCCTTTACCACGAGTCCTAAAGTGTATATTTATCTTCTTACTCTTCTTATATTTATTGTTTGTTTACTTGCACTGCTGTAACTGGAGCCTCGTCGTCTCTCTATATACTGGACTGTAGCGGAGATGACAATAAAGTTTACTTTGACTTCGGCAGCGAGCAGGCGCACCGAGGGCTCTCGCGCTCACTTTTCTCGTATAGAATTTCGAAAAAACATCGGTGCAAATTATAAGTCTGTATCACGTCTGGTGTTTTCGTGTTTGTTGTTTTGTTTTTATTTTCTTTTATTTGGCGAGTTGGTTATTAGACGCTGCTCCAGCCGGTCAGAGAATCCCCCGCCGCCCCGCCCTCTCCTCCCTGTGCAGCAAGCAGCAGGCGCACCTCGCAAACGGAGGGCGCCCTTACTCCCAGCAAATGGGCGATAGAAAACCGATCGGTGCCTCTGCCATTCCCAATATGCGCTGCCTGATGTCGGGGCAGCATGAGTATGAGCAATTTTTTTTTGCTGATGCCTGTGATGCTGCCCCGCACCACGATGCCACCCCAGGCAACCGCCCATGTCGCCCGTATCAAAAACCGCTACTGCAAATCCCCAGGAAAACACTCAATGGTTGATACCATTTTCTGTAGCACAGGGGGGACATTTGACCCCATCCCACAACAACAGAAGTAACGGCAAAGAAGTGACACCTCGGAAAATATCAGTGCGTTATTGTAAAAACAGAAAAGTTCAAGTTGCCTCAACCTGCCCCCCGTTCACTCTGCTCCACCTCAAGCTGCAGCTCTTCAGCCTACAACTGTCGCCTGCTCCAGATTTCACTCTGTATTTGTTCTGATTAGCTCTCCACACTCTGTTCAGCTCAGCTGCAGCCTCCCCTCTGCTCTGCACAGCTAATGCTCATATGCATGGCAGCTAGGTTAACATTTTTGATAATAGTTTAATATTTCAGTTGAAATGAGAGTTTTACTGAGCTCTGAGTTTAAGTGTTAAGCATGTTAACTACATCAGCTGTCAGGGGGGAGGAGCTCTCTGTCTGCAGCAGTTGTGTGTGAAGTTGTGTGTCAGCTGCAGGAGGCAATGATGAGGCTGTTGGCACTGACACTGTCGCAGGGCTGAACTGAGAGAAGCATCCAAAAATGAAATGACTGTGCAACATCTGTAGGGCCCATGTATCACATGATGCTACCAGTAGTGACACCAACCCTAGCCAACCCCCTCTGCTGCTTAACAGACCAGATCAATAACCCAGCAGTCTGATTGGCCTGATGCTACAGTATGATAACAAATAGTTGTTTTTTCACACATAGAGCAGTTATTAAGATCTATATTACGAATCTTTATACTTTTGCATATATCATAACCATTTAATCGTTTGTGTTTCTCTTCCGTGTCATCTTAAACGTTCACTGCCTGCATGTAACGTAAGGGTCGCCAAAATCTGCATCGTGACACAATTTTGTTCACATGACCACAAAATACAGAGAGAAGGTTCTGAAAAAGCCCTGCAGGCCTGGCAGAAATCGCCTGCTAGTTACATACAAAAATATGACTCTTTATGTCCTAATGTTGTGGTTTTTATGATTAAAAGACATCCCTGCTCCCGAAGATGGCTGCACAGTATCTATCACAGCGTCGTCCCCTCCCGCAGGAAGCTGCATTTTCCTGTCTCCACACTCGGCACACACACGCAGGCTGTACAGGTTACTGGCAAACCCGGTTTTTAATATGTTAACAATAAACAGTAGCGCTTCAAGATAAATGCTACAATGAGAACATAACCCTTCTGCTTAAAAAATAAATATGATATCAAAATACTTCACCAGATGAATATTTATTAAGTGACAGCTATAGGCCTTTTTTGTTCCACAGATAAATGACTTCAAAGAGATTTACGAAAACAAAGCAAGTCACAATGTGCAAAAAATACACAGTATTAGCTCTGATAATAAGTCTAAAAAGGGGTAAAATCATAAAAGTATTATTTTTATTAAATTAAATTACACAAAAGACAAGAATTAGTATTTAACATAGTGCACAAGCATCGTCTGTTGAATACAAAAACTGGAACAACTGGAAATAACGTACTAATAATTATATATTAATAGTTTTATAATAATTCATACATTCAAAATTTAATGATGAGCAAACAAAAGGAAACTAGCAACACGGCTGCACAGCCTGATGCTCCACGAACAAAAGCATGCTCTAAAGTTCAGCTTTGTTTCTACCCCAAAAGTGGGGATAGTGACACTCCACTCAAGTCACCCACTCAAATGAAATATAAATCCACTTGCATTAAATAACTGTCTTTCACAGCAGTGTTTATCTTTCTCACAGCTACCAGAGATAAAGAAATCTTCAGTTTGGTTTAAGCAAGAGTGCAGCCTGAGTACAGTGTAGGTGCTGGGACACGAGCTAGAAACTCACCTTATTATTACCTGTAAAGATTTCTAACTTGAGTGCAAAATAACAGGCTGGAATAATAGGAACAAATTAAAGTGAAAATAATCGTCTTGAATCCTCTATGCTCGCCAAAGCAGCAAAGCAGCAGAGCAACCAGAGTTTGGATCCAGAAATGTGCAGAGCCAGAATCACTTACAGATATTAACTTGTGTGATAAAACTGCACGCACATGCAAGTTTTATTAAATGAACACATTCAGTAAAACCTGCAGCGCTGATTAAACTTTGGCAATCATCCCACTGACATTGTATAAGGACTGAGTGCTGTCTGCTGCCAAAATAGCTTTTACTGTTATGACTTGGAAAAGAAATACATTCAAGCTACCGAGACCTGCAGATACAGAGAGGCAGGAGAAAATGGTTGCTTTGTTTTTAACTGCAGATATCATTCATTAAGGCAGGACTGGCTTGGTTTCAGGCTTTAGTGCTCTCGCTTCTCTTCCACTTTCAATGTGCTGCCGGCACATGTTACCAATCTGAATTATGGATCTATAGATTTTTGCTTAAAGCTGAAAGAAATTCAACTTGTGGAAGCTTCAGTGCATTAGTGCAGGATCAGCCTATCACATCATGTATATCCAAATCCTCCAGCACGGCCGTTAGCCAAGCAAATCACATTATGCAGAGATCCTGAAAAAGTCATGTAGCCTCTTATAATTTAGCATCACATTGTAAGGAGAAAATGATAACAGGGGGAGTAAATAATCAGCTTCTTATATGAACACAATTTCTAGCAGGCAGCTAGCTTGACTAATTTTACCTCCTAATCGAAACTTCTCATGACTGATTATGGCAATAATATGACGGTCAGTCTGGGCCTCTGTTGGTCACAAGATCAACATCTGTCCCTGTTTAGTTTCTGCCATCATACCACAACCAGTTTTGAATGGGGAGAAACAGCCTTGAAATCTGAAGAAAAACACGAATTTGTTACTGTCAGCATGACTTATAAACTCTTTGGATGTGCATGAAACACCCTGGAAAGAAACTTTAAAACAGTGCATGATTTTTAAACTTAGCCAAGTATTTTAATGCTTAAACCTAAATGAGAACTTACTGTACTTAAATCTAAACAAGTTATTTTTAGTGTGTATTAATAATAATCCATTTAAAAACGTACTAATAGTGTATTACAGAATAATATATGTGAAATGTAAACATCTGTCACATGTATGACCGGAACTGTGGTCTCTGTAGTTGTTCATCAGATAACGGATTAATCTGTGCCCATAAATGCAAATCAACAGATCAGAAGTCGTGACTATTTTCTGAAGCGCACGGAGCCTGTGTTTGACCAGTGCTGCTGTTTCAGCCACTGCTTTGACCACATACGAATCTAATGCTGTCAAATACATTTGCTAAAAGGGAATAAAATTATCAAGCAACAACACTGCCACTGGTTCAAATGTTGTACTGTTAGAAAGGTGTACATTTAATGCAAAGAAAAAGAAGCATTTTGTATCAGCAATTTTCTAAAAACACCATCATACCTGCACAGACGCACCTTTACAGACACGGTTCTGCAAACCAAACAAAGTTACAGTAGAATTTTACTAAAATCTCTTACATATTTGCCACAATATGAGCCCGGATGGTATCCTGCCATGTTTCCCGAGCTCTGTAGTTCTGCTAACAGACACGGGAGCCTTAAAGTGCCAGTATGTAACACTGAGTTTGGCCTGGCGCTCTGCCCGTGCCGGAGAACCGCATCTACAGCGCACAGTCTAACCCGGTACCGGTGTTGTGGAGCAAAAAGAAAAAAGAAAAGGCCTGTAACCATGACCACCTTTGATGTAGCAACGATTAAACGGAATAACGTCAGTCGTGCAACACAAATACTGGTGACTTATTGCTCGAGTTTGAGAGCAGCTTCCTCGGTGTCAGAAATCAAAGACGCACACAGAGCGCAGAAATGCTTCATTGTTATGGTTTTAATATAGCGCTGCCTCTTCGTGTCAGCTGTCAAGTGGCTCGCTGAATAATAATAGCTTCAGTTTTTCGGTCTTACCCGCCTATTCCTTCGAAGAGAACCCGAGGCGACGACTTGGTGCCTGCTTTCTTTCTTTCCTTGCTCTGCCTGGGCAGCGATAATTACCCCGAAGAAAAGCAGAGGCTGTGAAAATGTCGATAGTAGCGCATTAAAGCAGCGGCGAGTTTACGGACACACTCGGTCGGTTAGACCGTAAAGCACTGACAGTAGGGGGAGACTGCTCCTAATAAATACCGCTTGTAAACATGGAGCTGACAGTTACTCTCGCGAGAGCACCTGTAGTGCTTTAAACTACTCCCCGATGAAAAAAACCACATATGGTGCCAAATTAGACACGTCTAAAATAAAGTGTCTGTGCAGAGACCAAAGAACTCATGGCTACATATCGTACACCATGCATCAAGCTGCAGATTCATGTAAATATTATTTCCTTTTATTTTCGTTAGGTTTTGTTACTCTTTCTGCCTTCACATCACTAAAAACTCAGCAAGGCCCTTGGTTGGCTGCTTGTTTTAGGAAGGACCACCCAGCTTCTGTTTCCATGGCGAATGATAAAAGCAGAAAATGATATATACCGTGAACTGAATTTTGTAAATATACACTCAGTTATGCATACCTGTGAAATCTAATGAAATGCAGTGTGAGAGCTCTACCACATATTCTACTGTCACCCACCACATGTTTTTGCCACGTTATAGAAGAAAGATTGAGGCACCTACTGTGGCAGACACGAGGCAACTGAAAAAGCCAGTCATAGTTTGTGTTTTGTCTTTGTCTGTCTATCTACATTCCTGCTTACTGTCCCCAAATGCTTCTTCATATTGATGATCCTTGGCAGTCTGATTGTCTAACATCCGTCAACTATCGATCGATTACATTGATCCCTTTTCTGCCACTGATCCATATTGTGAGGGCAGCGGTCTACGTCGAGACCCAGAGGCCTTCCTTTCTGGGGACGCCACCCTAAAGCTGGTTCTATGGTCGAGCACAGAGAGCACGGTCGTCTGCCTGCAGCGAGCGCTGTTCTCAGAGGGAGGCAGTGTTACAACCGGTCTGTGGCCACTCTTGCTTGTGCTGTTGTCGCTCTGTCAGCCGGCCACAAAGGAGAGCAAAACTATAACACTTGAATTTGAATTTAACTTTATTGTGATCATAAATACATGAAATGTAACGAGAGTAGGTGCCTTCCTTATGGTGATAGTCATTCACACCATTGCATGTGGCATATAACACTATTGCATGAAAACACACATGTGTGGCATTATTGTACATAATATCAACTATTATATATGGTGCTAGGTGGTGAGTAATGCCCTGATGGCTATCAGATAGAAACTGTTCTCCAGCCTGGAACAAACTATGATGGGATGTGAGGAATCTTTCAAAATGTGGAGTTCACCAGCTGATGGTCTCCTGGGTATCTTTATTGTAGATGCTCCGCAGTCCTCTTCTTGTAGTCCCTCTTAGCCTTTTAATGCCTCTCTTTAGGTTGGTCCATGCCATGCTGTAGAGGGCCTTGACACCAGACTTGATGTTCCTCTCTTGAAGCAGCTGCTGGACCTTCCTAGTCTTGGTTGGGAAAGACTGGGATGTGTTTCATCACAGTAACAGTCGGTGCAGGTCTTGAAATAGCATGCAAAGCGTTCAAGTGAAACCAGTGGTAAAAAGTGAAAAAGTGACCGTGCAACCACTCTTTGTGATTTTCATACTGTAGTTTTTTTTATCATTGAAGTTTTTTTGTTCCCAGTGAACATTATATTGGAGGACTGCATGGAAGAACATCTTGGATGGGTGAAAACCTCTCTCCGCCTCGGTCCAACCAAAAAGTCTACACAGACGGACACATTTGTGGGACCATAAACTTAACCTTATTCCCAACAGCCAGTCTTGGCAGGATGGGACTGGACTGTTTGCCAGTCTACACGACGCTACACTCTCTCTACCCTGGAGATGCTAGAGATACACTACACGAGGGCCTATATCTTACAATAGCAGCTTGAAGCAACCGTTGTTGTGAAGTGGTGCACTATAATTAACATGTGAGGAGTTTATACTGTCAGACTATGTCTGTCCCCAAAACTTAAAAGCATGTAGTAGAGTAAAATGTAACAAAAGTGGTATAAATAGTATATAATAGTAATGTCATTTTAAATTCTATGTTTATTAATGAGGTCAGAGTAGGTGGTTCACATTTCACAAACAGAGAGGCCGTCTGTCTCGTTGTAAGTTCATGTTTACATTTGAGCCTATAATACTTAAAAGAATGTTTTACAACCAGACACTCGTCTCAGACGGCATTAACTCTGACTTTAGCTCTCCTGTCACAGATGTTCTGTAACTTGCACACAAAGTTGAGGAATATATTGTCTGGTATGTGTTTCCGTGTGTGTTTGTTCAACTCGGCATCAGACACATTTCCACTTTTTCACAAATTTGCAAAAAAATTAACAAACACATAATAATTGAGCAGTAGGATACTCGTAGGTTTTCCTTTATTTTACATAGAAAATATTTAAACACAGTAGTAATTACATCTATTCAATTCAATTCAATTCAATTTTATTTATATAGCGCCAAATCACAACAAAAGTCGCCTCAAGGCGTTCCATAGATACAGAGAAAAACCCAACAATCATATGACCCCCTATGAGCAAGCACGTTGGCGACAGTGGGAAGGAAAAACTCCCTTTTAACAGGAAGAAACCTCTGGCAGAACCAGGCTCAGGGAGGGGCGGCCATCTGCTGCGACCGGTTGGGGTGAGAGAAGGAAGACAGGATAAAGACATGCTGTGGAAGAGAGACAGAGGTTAATAACAGATATGATTCAATGCAGAGAGGTCTATCAACACATAGTGAGTGAGAAAGGTGACTGGAAAGGAAAAACTCAATGCATCAGACATCTGAATGGTCTTTGTACATTAATCATTAGTTGCATTGTTTATGATAAAATGAAAAACAGACCTCCAGCCAACATACAAAGAAGCCCACTGTGTGCTTTGCCTCCCACAGTCCCCAGACATGCATCTTAGGTTTAATTATTCTGGTAGGTTGTGGTCTAAAGCGCTTTGAGTGAGACTAGAAAAAAGTTATACAAATGCAAGTACATTGTATTGTTCACAACTTGCCAGTTTAACTTAGTTCTAATGAAGTGGTTGGATAGTTTTTTAAAACACAACCAGCTGTTCTATTTTTACATTAAGTACATATTCACATCACAGTGAAGATCCTTTGCAAAGCCAGCCATCCAGTGCATGCACACTGTTATAATAATAACATTGTTAACTCCATAAAACTACCGTGTCTTCTAAATATGTATCAATACTTCAAAAGGTAGCTCACAGAACCACAATGTCAGTCCATGTTCATTGTTTGCACACAGTCAATGACAGACCAACATTCCTCTAATTCTAAGCGTGACTTCTGCTGCAGCTGTTGGGATGTTTGTCAGGAAAGTTGTCTTCTATAAAAGTCAGCTGTTGCCTCTTTACAGTTTTTCTATTCGTGCAACAAACCCCCTGATAAAATCAGGAGGTTGAAAGTTTCTGCGTACGTATATTTACCATGAAAAAAATGGTTGTTTGCTCTGTCAAACAGATCTAAGCAGCCCTGTGGCTTTGCATTAACATCAAGGAGTCTAATACTAATATCTGCAGCTGTATTAACGTAATTCAATACTAAACAGTTTACGGATGCAGTGGCTTGTTCTCAGGCAGAGTATAAAACTAATAACAGTTGGCTGTTAGAGGCCCTGCTGCTCTGGGTTGGATCTTATTTATGGTTTTGTTGCTATACTGTCAACAAACACCTTCACATGAGCCCCTCAGCTGCCATCTTTCAAACCTTCACTATGTAATGTTTAAAATAATTCGACACTTGAACAAAGCTGTGCGGCTGCATGGCAGGGTTGGAATGAGTGACCTATAATGAAGATATAACAAGCCTAATCTAAATTAAGCAAATTTATTATTTTATAAATGCTAAATGGAGGTTCTTATATCGCACGTGACAAAACTTGCCTGATTCACACAAGCGCCTTCTATCTAACTTAGACGAGGAGCAGACGAGGACTGAACCATCGACCTTCTAATTACTAAGTGATCTGCTCTACCGCCTGAGCTTTAGCCAAACCGTGTCAGGTGTGTTCATTTATTTCTTACAATCAATTCCCTACATGCAGCGGGTGTGGTTTGTGGCTCAGTTGCAGGGGAGGGGAGGGGTGGAGCAATCATCTCACCATGGCGCCCCTATAAAAGATGTGCTGGGACCTCAAGTGTGTGTGTGCTACAAAGAGGGCAGCTGTGTGCAACTGTAAACGCTGTTGGTGTGTCATTTCCACACTACACTTTTTAATGTTAGGTTTAATTTATGAATAATTTAAAACAAATAGAAGTTACATAGCTGAAAATCCATCCATGCATTTTCTTACATTTACCTGGGGCCTGACCTGGGGCCTGGTCACAGCGGCAGCAGCCTAGGCAGAATATCCCAGACCTCCCTCTCCCCAGCCACCTCCATCAGGCTGTTCCATGAGTTCATCTGAGCGGGTCAGTACCCTCGAGTTTTGGACAACCTGGAGATGAGCCAGCCCTTTCTTGTTTTAAACAAGTAAACAGACAAATGAAAAAAGAAGGTTCTTACTCCATTTTAAGTCAAGGAAGCTTCATCAAAAGTAACATCTAAATTTCTAAGGCTACGCTTCTGCAAGAGACCCGAATCACCCAGGTGGTGTTTAATGTCAGACATTGCTCTGCCCGGTGCAATAATCAAAGTTTCAGTTTTGTCTCGGTTTAGCTGTAAATAGCTGTTGTTCAACCATTGCCTAATATTTGTAAGCAGTCAAAATGCAGAGTTTGTGAACTTCAGAAGCCTTAAATGAGCAGTATAGCTAAATATCTTTAGCAAAAAGAAGAAATATCAATAAACTGCTGTATTATCTGGCCTAAAGGAAGAATGTATATTAAAAACAGAATAGGTCCCAGCACGGAGCCTCGAGGAACTCCATATAGCAGCTCTGTACTTTCAGACATGATCTGCTTTGCATACACACTAAAACTCCTGACATTATGTAGGATGGAAACCACAGAAGAACAGAGCCAGACGTGCCAACCAGATCGCTCGGTTTGTTTATCAGGACGACGATTAACTGTGTCAAAGGCTGAGGAGAGGTCTAACCTAAGACCAGGACGTATTCTCCAGAATCTGCTGACTTCATAATATCACTG